TAAAAAATGATGTTTGATGGGATCTTTTTGGAGAAAAAATCAACGGACATTGACGAAGTCTGCGAAGGCTTGTTGCAGAGAGTTGCTGGGAAACCTGAATCGTGGCGTTTTGGCCGGTCAAATGCATAATTATATGATTTATTATGTACTTCTACATGTTGTTTTACGGAGTACCAGATTTATATAAATCCTTTATCTATGTTTGTTTTAAACAGTAAGTTCATTACTATACCCTTCTACATTTTGTTTGAGAAGGGCAGATTGATACCATGTCGCTATGTTATTTGTACACTGTATTGATGAGATGTTTTTCACAGGCGTTAAATCGTGGTAGATTTGAATCATGTTGGGCGAACGGCGAAGGGTTCTGCGGGAATTGGTTTGTGGTTCCATCCCTACGAAACGAAGAGAATTTAGCAGTTTCCCAGCAAAAGACGCAGGTTACGCGTTCGAAAAAAGATCGAAGACTCTGTTCAAGATCCGTGGGTTTTTCACAACATGTTGAAAAAAACATGTGTCAAAGCCATTTGCAACTCGTTTTTTTTAAGTATTTGCACACATTGGAGAAAGTCTACAGATCAGGAATGATCAGGATCCGGCTGCTACAGTCGGATCCCTAAGGACTTTGGGAAACCAAAAGAGACGTCCCTTTCCAGCGAGAAAGCTGGGCCATCTGTGGGTGGCAGGAAACCAAAGTAGCTTCCCCAGTCATCCGCGGGTTTGTCGAGAAGTTGGGGTTTTCTGATTCCATGTATGCACCATGTAATATCATGTAATTCTGTTTTTAAGCTGACCCATTTACTAGTTACCCTCTGGTAAACAAACAGTTCGCTATTGAAAATGGCCCAGTCGAGTGGATTTACCCAGCTATAAAATGGTGGATCTTTCCATCGTGGTTGGGACAGTTTCCCAGGTCGGGTATGGGGTCCGGCGGGCCCAACTCCGTTTTCTCCAGGGCGTCCTCAGCTCCAAGCAGCTGCAGCCGGCCTTGTCCGGGGCCCTGGCCACGCTGCGCTCCCTGACGCCGCGACCGGAGCCGGCGGCGGAGGTGGAGCCCGGGAAGTCCCTGGTGGCGGCGGTGGGCTTGGTGAAGTGCCTTGGTGGCGGGCGGCTTTCGAGGTTTGGAGCTGTGCTTTGCTTTGGGATTTCATGGATTTTTATGTGATTTTATAAGATGTTGATTTGATTTTATAGGAATTAATGGGATTTTAACAGTGAACATGATAGGGTTTAGCTATGAAACATAGGGATTTAATTTAATGGATGTTCATGTCAAAATCATTTAAGTAAATAGTGATTTTTAATGGGATCTTCATGTGGATACAATGTTTTTGTTCCTGTCCCCAGCTATGATTGATCCCTTCCCACGTGGCCGTACCAGGTTTCCCATGGTGGATGAAGGGATTAAACATGATGAAACCACGTTTAAGAGGAACAGGAGATGGGACCCGATCTGGGAAACGTTAACAAAAAACGATGGAAAGATCCACCATGTTTTGGCTGGGTAAATCAACAATAATAGCCATGTTCAATAGCAAACTGTAAACGTTTACCAGAGGGTAAAAAGTCAACTGTCTGGGGTGCACTAAGCCACCAACTGCTGTGAACATCCGTGATCCATAGAGGAAATCGTAGACATCTTTGGCGCACCGAAAATGAATATAATTAGGACAATAAGCCATGTAGCATATGAACATCACTTGGCCATACTTCAATACATGTCCAATAGAACCCATCAATATGATCTTATTATCCATGCCTATCCCGTTTTGAGCCGCTTGTACTTTTTTAATTGTGACCCATTGTCCATGTGGAAGCCAGCTGAATTTAAGTCTTACCCGATGGCGGCCATGGTTTATCATGGTTTGAAATGTCTAAGCATTGTGCTTGCAATGTTTTACAAGTACAACAGACAAAGCCTTGTTCTCCCATGAAAAATGGTGTCAAATCTCCACAAAAAAAAAAAAAACAAACAACAAATTTCACCGTAGGTAGAAGTTGGTGATTTGTTACTTTGAATGTTTATCCATTGTTCATCGTAAAATTGAATAATTGTCCATCAACAATCCACCTCGAAAAAAAAAACGTGTTTGTTCAAAAAAATAGTGATGCCACATGAAAAGACTCTGATTGTTCATCTAAAAAACCCATAAAATCGCCATATTTCACTAAACATCCACATTTTTCATAGCCACATAAAATCCATATAAAATCACCATTTGTCCATGGCTAAACATCCCATAAAATCCACATTTTTCATAGCCACGCCATGTTGAAATCGCCATTTCCCAGGGACAAAACCAACGGACACCGAGGCGCCTGGCGCTCGCGGCGCCTCAAGCGCCCAGTGCTGCTGAGGCGCTGGATGCCTTGCAGAGCGCCCTGCTGGGAGGACACAGATCTGGTGGGAAGCCATGATGATAGTGATTTTCCTCTGGTAGTGGGTTTATAGTGGGTTAAATGGAAAAGCCCATATTATGGTTAATAGTTGTGTGAAATTAACGGAGGGTCCCATTCATATCCACGTGTTTGTTGGTTCAATCCTGATAATCAATGGGAATTCCAGGATCCTAAAATGGAGGTACGTTAGTACCATATTTCTGGCCATATTTTGGGGGATATCCCCTGAAATTTAGCCCTTATATAGGCCTTATATATGGTAGTGATTACCCTCTGGTAAACATACAAACAACGATGGACAGATCCACCATTTTATAGCTGGGTAAATCAACTGTTTCGACTGGGCCATGGCTTCAATAGTTATGTAACAAATTACCAGAGGGTAACCGTGATGAATAGGGACTAATGATGATCTTGCAGAATCGACTAACATCGACTAACGAACTACCTAACTACCTAGCTAACTAACTAACGAATTAATTTGCCAGCTAGCAAACCAACCAACCAACCAACCAACTAACCTCACCAACCAACCAACCAACTAACCAACGAACTAACTAACTAACTAACCAACCAACTAACCAACTCACTCACTCACTCAACTATCTAACTATCTAACTATTTATCTAACTATCTAACTATCTATCTATCTATCTAACTATCTAACTATGTCTCTATCTAACTAACTAACTAACTAACTAACTAACTAACTAACTAACTAACTAAGTCACTAAGTCACTAACTAACTAACAAGCTAACTAGCTAACTAGTTAACAAACTTGCTAACCAACCAACCAACTAGCTAACTCTATTAAACTACAATGAAGTACCCACGCCCGGCGGCTCCCAGTTTCTCCTCGCAGGAACCTCCAGCTCTGCATGGGCCGTTTGGGCACAGCAGTGGCAGAAGGAACTGTGTCTTGACGAAAGGTTTTTCGATGTTGGAGGTTTAAAAAAGACATATCTGGTTAGTGGATGTTAGTGGATGTTAGCTCACCTAATTACTTATCAAACCTTCGAAATTGGAGAACCTTTGGAATTGGAAAGTTGCTAACGTGGTTAAAACAATAGTAAAGCATCCCCCAAATCACCATGTTTATGGGTCGTATAACCGTATAATCCATTCCCAGTCATGGGTGGTTTATTAATGTTTTAACCACATTATAGATGTTCCAAGCCAAATGGTGATTTAATGGGATTGCATGGGGATGTATGAAATGCAACTAGCAATATCGTATTTGAGGTTTGCCCTTTTGGTCATCAAACGTGGCAAGCTGGAAAATCAAAACATGGCTAATGGTTTCACGTTATTGAGCCGTTGAGATGACGAGCATTTTGTTGGGACGGGTTAAAACCACCAACCAGATGAGGTTCAACTGAGGTCAATCCCAACAAAATGGATTTATGGATGAAACACTTTTTTTCAACCAACAAAAGCTGGATTTGCAAAACTGAAAACAGAGAAAAATGAGAGAGAAATGGAGAGAGAGACTAAAACTTGCCAATTTGTTGCGGACAGTTGCTTATTTATGATCACTTAAGCTCAGAAACATTGACAAGAATCTGACAAGATGGGATTGACGCGTCCAAAGAATCCGAATCAAAAACATGCAATCAAAGCGTGCATGACTTGCTAACTCTTCCAGTGCACCCAAGTCGGTGATTGGAATTTGGGGTGAAATGATCAACCAACCCCCGATCCCCATGTAAGGATCCATTCTGGTTGGTAGTGGTTTGGAACATATTTTATTTTTCCATATATTGGGAAGAAAATCCCAACTGACGAACTCATATTTTTCAGAGGGGTAGGTCAACCACCAACCAGCATTTAAATGCATCCATTCGGTTGATTTAAGATTGGGATGCATAACACTACTACTTGGGTTAGTCTCAAAATCCGTCGGTTCTATGATCATGATAATGATAATCATTGATTGCATTTTTTTGTTGGGGAGGTATGCCATATATATAATTATATATATACACCTTTTTTTCAGAAACACCCATATCATGTCAGTTTGGTTATGTATCCCAGGATGTCCCCATCATATCCGGAATTGTTGGTGAGTATTACCCTCTGGTTATGACTGTTACAGTTCGCCATGGTATAGATGGCCCATAGAAATAGATGATTTTCCCAGCTAGAAACCTCCATTAAAAATGGTGATTTTCCATGGCAAACTGTTAGTCATAACCAGATGGTAGTTACATCAGCCGCCAAACATCACCAGCCTTAACTGGTACTTGGAGGACCATCCCACGAATCGTAACTGATGAAAAACCCGGATTGGTAAACTAATAGTTTGCTATGGGAAACCACCACCTTTAATAGGTAAATATAGGTTAATCATCTAAAACTAAATTTTTAAATGGGCCATTGTCATCCATGTTCCAGTTCGCTATGTTCCATAGCTATTTTTTAGTTTACTGGAGGATAACCATATAGGAATCCCAACAAAAACACCACTGTCATCACTATGTAGTATTTTACTTTTTCATTTTTTGGTTTTGTTTGGGGGTTACTATATATATATATATATACCCTCTGGTTATTTAACAGTTTGCCATGGAAAATCACCATGCTATTAAGAACGGTAAAGCATCTATTTCGATTAGGGCCATGGCTTACATACCATGGCTATGTAACAGTCATAACCAGGCCGGGTAATCACATTTAGTCACTATAATTTGTAATTTATGGGATTATAATGGGATAAATGGGATAAATCAGGGTTAATGATGGTTGATGATGGTTAATGGTGGTTCATCATCATGTGCAATCCCATGATAATCTATTCATGGGAAATGATCCGATGATCCCCAGGTCATCAAAGACCTACAGCAACGAGTGCGTCAGTGCACTGGTCACAGCAGTCACTTGCCGGGCTTGCCTCGCTGCAGTGATGAAGTCACCCCAGAAAGTCGGGCAAAAATGGTAAGCTAAGCTAAGCTCGAAGTATTCATTTGGAAAATATAGCGACATACAACAAGATGTATATATAAAGTTAAAGATATATATATATATATGATTATTGTAAGGAAAATAACAACCTTTATTTCCATTTCTAAAGATGTGTAAAGTATCAATGTTGAATTGTGCCTATCAGTAATCAGCACACGATTGGAAATATATACATGGCATGTCATAATGCATACTTATCCATTGAAATTATATTCAGAATTGCCATGAATGTTCATCATAAAGGTATAGAAGTTCGTGTTATTTGAAGTTATTTATTGTTTTTATTCATACATATTTATATTCTCCCATCGATTCAATCAAAAACACTGAAATATCCCAAGCCATAAAAGCCATACTGGTTGGTGGTTTGGAACATGAATTTTATTTTTCCATATATTGGTACCAATAATCCCAACTGACTTTCACTCCATGATTTTTCAGATGGGCTAGTATTATATCAAATTGGGATACATAACACTACTTGGGTTAGTCTCAAAATCCATAAAACCACATAAAGCAACCTACCATTGACGCGAGGTGTGCGACTTGCTCCCCAGCCAGCTGGAGCGCGCCAGAAGCATGGCGCAGCTGCTGCTTCAGTTCTCAGTACCCTCGACACAGCAACTTGGACTGTTAAAAAGATCGGTTTTTGCTAAGGTGTAGCAGTAAACCAGATGTGAAAATAGGGATTTCACCAAGAGTAAATGGGAAGATCATGAGAATCTTCATCATTGGAATGGCTCTTTATGATGGGTATAAAACCATGAAAAATGGTGATTTTTTCATCAACAACAATGGCAACAATGGGGAGATTTCATGGGAAAAATTATGTGATATTACCATACGTTAATCAAACATGGCTGGCTGGGAAATACCGGAACTAAATGGAGCTTTGAATGAGGATATTCATTGTTAACTTGTGAAATGTCCATTGCCATGTTTGATTATCAGAGGATAACATTTAGATATGAAGTTGAAATAGGTTTACATGAATTTGCATGGCGAGTGCGTTCCGATTTTTGTGTTTTTTTAATTCAACTGGAGAATGTTTGAGATTTGTAGTAATTATCATTGTGCCCGCGTGGGGGGTCCAACATTCCACTTGCAGAGTGGTCGCAATGTGTCTGCACTCCCATTTGCGGATACCCTGGTAATTATCACCAAGCAGCCATCAAAACGGGAACGGTTGTGATTCAGAAGACATAGATCATTGGATTACAATATAGTTATTACACCGGGGGCGCAGTTCCAGTCATAAGAGGATGTATAGAAAACCATGGTCATAGGGCCCCATATCCCAACTTATGAAAGATATGAAGCCGTGAACTCAGTATGTCATGGTTGCCCTGTGGAAATCAATCATTACAATGGAATTGTCCACCATTTGCATATGCTTTTCCCATTCAAATGCCCGTTTCGTTCAGGGATTTCCATTTCGCGTGTTTTTTTTCGGACACCGTTTTTTGTTTTTTGTGAACCAAAACCCCCATTGTTGATGATTAATCCCCATGATCAATCATCCCGTATTAGCTCATTATAATCACCCAACCGACCTAACCATCAATTAACCATTATCCAAAAAACATTGTCCATCATGATCAACCATTATATATTGCCAGTTTTCTAATTGAATCACCATCAAAATTGCGTAATATGGGCAATAAATCAATAAATGTCAACACATATTCATAACTCATAACCATTTGATTAACCACAACTTAACCATTTTATGGTCAAATTGAAAATGACATGGCTTCGACCATGAACTGGTGATATAAACCACCATTTTATGGTTATAACCATTGAAACATGTTCATGGTAAAATCCAGGGTTTCCTGTAAATCACGAAAGCTAGCGTCAGCTAGCTGGAGTCTTCTTGCTTTAGCAAGTATTGGGGGGGCTGCTCAAGGACATCACGTGATTTTTCACGCGAAAGGGGGGGACCCCCCCCCACCCTCACCCACCACCACCACCATCACCACCATCACCACCACCATCATCATCATCATCATCATCATCGTCATCATCATCGTCATCATCATCGTCATCGTCCTCTCCATTCCATCGTCCTCGTCCTCGTCCTCGTCCTCGTCATCATCATCATCATCATCATCATCATCGTTATTCAATTACATTTTATCATTATTGGCAATTATTGTCATTATCACGAAAGCTAGTGTCAGCTCGCTAGAGTCTTCTTGCTTTAGCACGTATTCCGGGGCTCCCCAAGGACATCACGTGATTTTTCCCGCGAAAGGGCCCCCCCCTGCCCCCTCCCCCATATATATCATTGTTATATATCATATATCAATATATCATTGTTGCATCCTCGTTTGGACGAACAATGCCGCGACACGATGATGACAGTCCCTCCGCAACTCACCTCTTCCCTTCCTTCTTTCTCCTACCCCGCTAGCTTTCGTCATCCACCCCCGGCCTCAAGTTTTCCCTTAAACCAATCCAATGACCATGACCATGTTGAAAATGCTTGAATGGGTAATGGGCCACCATTTGATGGCCAATTTCTAGCCCCGGCTTCAGGTGGCTCCCCCTGACCTTGCCCCGACTTTTGGCCTTCAACGCGCTAAGCCTCAGCGAGGCCACTTCGGCCACTTCCCAAGGCCCCTTGGGGGTCGATGGGACCACGATACCTGGTAAACTATGGTAGTTTAATAGTGATTTTCCGCTTTTGGTAGTGGTTATCATAGTTTAATAGTGATCACTACCATGAGTAGTAGTTTTTCATAGTGATCACTAAAATATAAGTAGTGACTATCAAAGTTTATGGTAGTTTAAAACAGGGTATAGTGTTTAGTGTAAAAACCGGTGATTAATCTGCATTCATAGTGCTGATGAATGGTTATGAATGGGAACATCATCTACCAATAGTGATTAGTAGTGCTTAATAGTGATTATATGATAGTGATTGACTTGGATGTACCCTTTCCCGTTCAGAAGACGAGCTACTTTTATGGTGGCTAAACTCCACATCTATGTTAACATTTACAGGATGGTAACTGGGGAAAATGATGATGATATATATATATATATAGATAAACCATGAATTCTTGGTGAAATCGAGGGATTTGTTCTATTTAACATAGCCATGGGAAATGGCCCATTTATAGATGGTGTACCTATTAAAAATCGTGATTTTCCATGGCTATGTTAAATAACAAGATGGTATAGAAAAAAAAACAACAACTACTGGTGGTAGTTTCTGTGATTTCAAGGAACACAACAGGACTAACCAACAATTTTCCAGGGAATCATTTATACATGGAGACATGAAATGTAATGAGATGTAGTGAGGATACAAATGACTAGACTTAGAGCATGATCAGGATATAATATCAGGATGCTAACATAGATTTCGGCAGAGGATATTTTTGATGGTTTATAGCAACACCTCCCAAATGGCAATGATGATTAACCATCAAAATTGGGGCCCTTTTTTGCAGACAAAACTAACAGAAAAATCACGCTTTTTCTTTTTTTGTTGCGTAAATCCCAATACTAATCCCAGTTGTAGATATTATATTCACTGTTACCAGCCACAAACAGAATCCTCTTGCTGTTTTTTTTGTAGCAACATCGCGAAGCTACGCTCTCAGATACGGAGCTTAGCAACGTGTTGCTGAAACGCCACTTGGCAGGAGGACGTACTGACAATAATACCTATTCCATGCACCCCCGGTTTCAGACCCATTTATCCATAGATGCTGGGTTAGCCAGAATGTCAAATGACCTATTTTGCCCACCATCTACTCAGTTCGAATCCATAGAAAACGCTGATCATTCGGATTTAGCGGGTGACACCAGCTAATGATGCTAACAATCTTGTAATAATAATAGTAAAAAACATTAAACTTATATAAATATAAACATAATCTTAATAATGTTACAAAGGAGGATTGACATGGATTAACCATTTACAGATGATTTTCAAATTTGTCATGTTTGATGCCACCAATCTACATGCACGACATCTGATCATCTATGGTGAGTTTTTTTTTTTTGGAGATAAAGTGAACATTCAACATAACATTGTTTTCTTGTAACCATAACTGGTTGGTGGTTTTAATCGTGTTTTTTTTTCCATTTCAGTCACCGTATGTCGTTTTTTATTAGGGGATGGGATTGCTATATCATAACGATGGATGGTTTTGATTTTTGATGGTGCTTGGCCACGGGTGAAGCATGGATTCCTGGGTGGCGAGATATCTCAACTTTTTGCGGCAAAGAGTGACGGAAAGCTATTCCTTTCGGTGCCTTAACATGGCAATGGGAGATCGTTCATTTATTCATGATGTTCCTCTATTTTTCCATACCGTCAGGTTATTATGTACGTAGTTATGGAGAATTATCGTTTTGAATACGTCATAAATCAGCTCCAAATGTGCCATGTCCCATGGCTTAATAACGATTAATATCCCCCATTTTTGTTGGTTCAATGGAACAATTATTCACGAACGAAGCGTCAAGTAAAAAGTGATGCATCCGTCAGCAGAAAGTGACAAATTGATGAGGCCCAGCATCAAATGTGGCCAAATGGGCTCCAGTAAAGCTGGACCCAAAGCTGGCTAAGCCAACTGAACAGATCTTTGAGATCTTTGAGCATGGTCAGATTCGAACCATTCGGCAATCGCATCCTGTTCACGAAAACTGGTTGGTGGTTTGGAACATGAATTTGATTTTTCCATATATTGGGAATAATCATCCCAACTGACTTTCATATTTTTCAGAGGGGTAGGTCAACCACCAACCAGAAAATATCGCATCCTGTCTTTACACGGTACTTGGCCTGAAATTCCGCTGGGAGGAGAGGTGGAGTCTCATGAAGAGTAGTTTTTCCCCATAAGATCCCATTAGAAATCCCATGAAATCACCATTTTTCCACACAAACAGCCCTTTTCGACATCGAAAAAACAAGTCACAGCACGAGAGACGCTGCCAAGGTTCCGCGGACGTCTTCCAATCACAAGATGCAAATGGACACAAGGAGGACGCTGGTTTAGTCAGAAAAGGATGGAGGGTTGTGGCTGGGAAAATCGAGAATCATAGGGAAAATGGGGAAATCCCATTATAACATATTATAACTGGAGATTCATTCATGGGAGAATCCCCATGAATGGTGGATTTTCCATTGCCATGTTTGATTGCCGGAGGGTGATTTAGCACTGTCTAATGGGAAGTTCCTTTTCTATGGTTTAGATTTTCAAGGGTTGCTACAATCGTCATTGAATCATTGTTTTTGGAATGCATGAAATGGAGACAATAGTAGTCTGACCAAGCAAATGTTCACATAACACCGACTGGGATCTGAGTACTGAAACAACAAACGAACCGATGGACATACCCTGCATTTTTACCAGCACGGAAAACCACGTTTGAAACTACGAGCCACCTTTCGCGTAGGACGGGCCGACATTTCAGTGGGGATCATACCAAGCTATTCTAAGCACACGACGGCCGGTGCAGTTCCACCCACTAATATTAGCCTTTGGTAAATAGCCAATGGCTTGAGTGGAAACTCATCCACCCCACCCCCGATGAATGGCAGGGTCTACGTTAAAAATTACTTTACTTCGTGTGATCCCCACCATGACATTTATACATTTTCTTACTGGCAAATCTTCTGGCATTCTATCTGACATATCTTCTGACATTCTATTTGGCATTCTATCTGGCATATCTTCTGGCATTCTATCTGACATATCTTCTGGCATTCTATCTGGCATATTCTTCTGGAATAATATGGGCATCTTTTTTAATTCTGGGGGGGGGCCAAAAAAAAATCTCTGCATCGATCTGGAATATCTTCTGGCATATCTTCTGGCATTCTATCTGGCATTCTATCTGGCATTCTATCTGGCATATCTTCTGGCATATCTTCTGGCATTCTATCTGACATATCTTCTGACATTCTATTTGGCATTCTATCTGGCATATCTTCTGGCATTCTATCTGACATATCTTCTGACATTCTATTTGGCATTCTATCTGGCATATCTTCTGGCATATTTCTGGCATTCTATCTGGCAAATCTTCTGGCATTCTATCTGGCATATCTTCTGGCATTCTATCTGACATATCTTCTGGCATTCTATCTGGCATTCTATCTGGCATTCTATCTGGCATATCTTCTGGCATTTATTCTGACATATCTTCTGGCATTCTATCTGGCATTCTATCTGGCATATCTTCTGGCATATTATCTGGCATTCTATCTGGCATATCTTCTGGCATATCTTCTGTCATATCTTCTGACATTCTTTCTGACATTCTTTCTAACTTTCTTCTGCACATTCTTTGTCCCATATCTTCCTACATGAGGTCCGGCAGGGAACACTTGGCGTGGATACTCGCGGTTGAGGTCCGGCAGGGAACACTTGGCATGGATACTCGCTGTTGAGGTCCGGCAGGGAACACTGGGCGTGGATGGCCGTGGTTGAGGTCCGGCAGGGACCACTGGGCGTGGATGGCCGTGGTTGAGGTCCGGCAGGGAACACTGGGCGTGGATGGTCGTGGTTGAGGTCCGGCAGCGCACACTGTGGATCGCGAGTCGCAGTTGAGCAGGAGGACGAGGAGGACAACGAGAGGAGGAGGAGGAGAGGAGGACGAGGCAGGAGGAGGCGGAGGAGGAGGAGGAGAAGGAGGAGGAGGAGAAGGAGGACGAGGAGGCAACTGACATAAAATCTAACAACCCTCACCTGGCAGGTGGGGAAAAACTGGCTTCGGTTTCACCATAGGTGTAGGGGTTAAGTTTATATCCCATCTTGTGGATGCTCTTGCCATACCCATTAATAACCCGGAGCTACACCCCCAAGAAGGGGCCGGGAAATTATTGTATCATGTCACCTCCTATGTGTTTTTTCCCGGTACTAACCTGCGTTGAGAGCGACACTGATGACGTTGTATCCCGCAGTTAACCACTAAACATTCACTATTCTTCAGAGTCATCAAACATGGCTTGCTATAAACCTCCATTTATCTGGGTAAATTATAACATACCCGTTGGTAGCTCCCAGCTGAGATCTAGGAGCTCCAGCCCCTGGGGTGCATGGCTATTTTTTTTTAGCCTTAGTAAAAATGACGATAGGTCCCTTGATTTTATCTGCAGACATGCTAGATTTTATCTCGATCATAAGTGTGAGATAAATTCTAAGAGGCTGGACCCCCCTAGGTCCCCTCAAGGGTACTCGCTTCCAAGGAGGACCCATGGGGGGGATCCAGCCCCTTGGATTTTATCTCACTCCAATTTCAGGTCAGGCACCTTGATTTTATCTTTGGAAGGTTGGGCTCATTGAATTTTATTTTCATCCTACTTGAGATTTGGTACCTATCTTATATTTTCAAAGGTTCACCCCCTTGATTTTAGCTCCAACCTACTTTGATTGCAGTTCCAACGAGATTTAGGAGCTCCAGCCCCTGAGGTGCAGAATATATGTTTTAGTTTTTTGAGTAAATTTGAAGGTTGGGCCCCAGATTTTAGCAGCACACTTGCTAGATTTTATCGTGGCCCTATGTGTGAGATAAATTCCAAGGGCTCCGACCCCCCCAGGGCCCTCCCAGGGCCCCCCCAGGGCCCCTCAAGGGCATTCGATTCCAAAGAGGATTCAAGAGGGGCGAGACCCTTGGATTTTATCTGATCCCAACTTGAGGTTAGGCCTTTTGATGTTATGAAGGTTGGGCCTTTGAATTTTATTTTTATCTTACTTGAGGCTTGGTATCTATTTTATTTTCAGATGCCAGCCCCCTTCAGTTTAGGTCCAACCTACACCTTGGATTGGAAAGGGGAAAAAAACAACCTTGATTGATGAATTCCACTGCAAAACTGGCATCAAACTGTAACAAAGGTGCATGAAATTTATTGTGTTGAGCATTGCTGGCATGTTTATCAAACTCACCGTTACAAATTTCCTCACCTTGAAACTTTATTGTTTTTGAACTTTGAGATGAACATATTGAATTTGACCCAAACAAAAAGGCTGCCAAATCCTGTGCTTCTTCTGTTCCCGGATAGCTGCTTCGACCTAGCGGGGCGAAGCTTGAAGGAAAAAACCAAGAAGAAGTAAAATCCATGTCCCCAACCTTGATAGATGAACCCCTCTGCAAAACAGGCATCAACCAAAGGTGCACATTTTTTTCTTGGGAAACGTGTGGCATGTTTATCAGCTTTCGCGCCACGGAAACCCTGTCAATATTATCTCTTTTGAACGTCATTCTTTGTTGAACTTTCACATCAAGGACAAATATTGAAATAGATCTCAAAAAGCACGCAACCAAATCCTGGATACCAGCATCTCACCCTGTCCATCTTCAGTTCCAGCAAATAAAACCTGTGTGCCCAACCTTGAGATATCAACCTCTCTGCAAAATTGGCGTCAAAAAACTTGCACTAAGTTTATTTACTTGGGACAGTTCTGAAATGTTTACCTTTATCATATTTGTTAAAAGTAAATCCAGAACAAAGTCTCCTGCACATCAAGGGCACACTGAAATTGATTCCAAAAAAGGCTACCAAATTCTGGAAACCAACACCTCGCCTTGTCCAATCTTTGCTCTTGAAACTTGGAGGGGAAGCCTGAAAATAACATCTGTACCCGCTAACCTTGATAGATGAATCTCTCTAAGAAAACTGG